TTTTTTCTTTTTTTTTTTTTTTTTTTTTTCTTGGCTTGTCAGAGTTTTGCGTAATATTATATTTACTTCATTTCAGGCCCCCACACTGCCCCCGAGGTGATGCAGGTGTCACCTACCTGCTGCAGGCACTGTCTCTGTGCGGCAGGTTCCGCTCGGATCCCGCTCATTTCAGAGCAGGGAAGAGATGCTTAGGATTTCTAAAATCCCGCTGCCGGGAGTTTCCAAAGCTATACACGAAGGAACAAACACCGCAGCCCGCCAGCGTGTTGCAAGAGGGCGGAAACGGTGGTTGCTGATAGTTGCTTTTGTGCCTGTGCGTCCTGTGGGTTTTCCGAGCGCCGCTTCGAGGGCGCGCAGGCACCCGCTACCGTCGGTGGCTGTTCTGCGTGTCTGTCTCCGTAAAATACGCGGCGCATAAACAAGCGAGCGCCTGCCTTCATTTTGCGTGTGCTTACCATATCACCTTGTCTCTCAAGGACGGCACGTTGCTAAAGCGCAGGCAGAGATTTATTGGAGGGGCTGGAAGGACTTCACTCCTGCTGCCTGTCCCCATCAGCTCTCATCTCCCACTCCTCTGCCACACTGGCCTCTCGCAGGCTCGGCTGCTCTTGTAGCTTCTTCTACTCTGAATCAAAATTAAAATCATGCTAGGGCTGTGGGATCATAGTAACAATATAGTCCTTGTTAGAGCTATGTTAGCCCAGTCTTTGGATGTTTGTGTTAGACAGTCACTCCTCTTCAAAGCTCATTTTCAGGCTGGTTACTTTATTCCATTAACCTTCCTTTTTTGTAGTGGATAGCAGACTTGGGTAAAATTATCTGTACTCAATATGTACTTCTGGTATCATCCAGTCATGTAAATTCAGGGACATAACATAATTGCTACGACCCTTGCTGTAAAGGGTGCCCCGAGAGGACAGGAGCACCATTCGTATAGCTTGAATGCAGTCCGAGATCCTTCGGCTTACCGCGGCACCTTCCAGCTCGCCTGCGGTTTGACTGCTTCCTTCCAAGTCTCCTCTTGTGAACCAGAAGAGGAATCACAAGCCCTGAGTCCTGACAAGTAGTTTCTTTCCTCCGTTTGCCATAATGTAACTTGTTACTACCGCTTGTTCAGCCAAGGGTGGCTGTGCTACCTGCTCTCTCCAGGACAGGATCTTGAGCTCAATTTTCCTTGTAAACCAAATGCAGCTTTTCATACATGTCTCTTCTAAAACTTTGCTGTTTTTTTTCCACTGCACTGCATTCACGTGTATTTATCATATGGCCCTGCCCCAAAATGTCCCCTTATATAACACTGTGTTTATCCAGAAGCACAAGTCTGCTCATTAGTTAGAAGGCCACTTGCTAAATGCTGCTGTTCTCTGCATGCTTGCAGAAGGCAAAATTCTACTGTACAAAACTCTCCTGACTTTGGAAAACAAACAAACAAACAAAAAACAAATAAAGCATACATTTTTTCAGATTGCCGTTTCACTAACAAATATGCTTTTCTTGTTCTTTCTTTTTTTCTTATCTGGTAAGGGGTTTGTAAGCAAGCTGGATGAATTCATTCACTGGTTAAATGAAGCCATGGAAACAACAGAGAATTGGACTCCTCCTAAAGCAGAGACAGACAGCCTTAAACTGTACCTGGAGACACACTTGGTAGGACAAGATTATATTATGATTACTATCAGTAATTGAAGTGTTCTGCTGTGCTTTTTATTTGATTATCATTTTTTAATTACTAGTGTGCATCTGTATTTTAATACAAGATTTGTAGCATTGCAGTTTATTTTAATGAAAGCACAAATTGTCTGCTGTATGAATATATGTAGCTATAGCTTTTTTTAAAGAAAAATTAAAAAGCAAAAATACATTGCAATTGAGAAATTATCTTCAAAAGTGAAAAAAATGATAAATAAAGGAGAAAGAATGAAGGTAATTCTGTGGTTTATTCTAGGATTTTTACTACAATTGTTGTAATATTTTAAAAGCTTTTATTAGCAATGGATTCTTTTTTTTCTCTGCTACAGCATTAGCCATAACACAGAGGCATTTAAATAAAATATTTGAAATAATTATTCGTATGAAATTACTTCGCTTGATACGCATTTCTGTCATGTAATTAATACAACTCTCACTAACCTTGTTCTTGTGCAAAAAGCCAAAACATTGGGTGGAAGTAGAAAACACTTGGATGAATAACCTTCTGAATATATTACAGCCTAGAATGATATATGGAGAAACATTTGATAAACCTCAGGAGGCTTTAGCTGCATTCTTCCAAGAGCAATCTCTGGTTATAAGGAGGTGAAACATAAGGCATGACTTAAAGCAAATATTCAGTCCTCAAAACCAAAATGTTATGCTGTAGGTAAGGAATAGAGATCAATGTATCCTGTGAAGTGGGTAGATATCTTAATAGGTAAGCTAGAAAGGGGCGGAGGGAATTAAAAAAAAAAGAAAAAGAAAAAGAAATTCCTCCTCCCTCTTGCCCAGATCTTTGGTTCTCGCCAGTGTAAGCTGGAAGACAACCTGGGGATGAGCAGTGCTGTGAGCCCTGAGCGAGACACAGCAGGTAGATAAGGCAAAGGCTCAGCTGAAACCACATCAGCCCCCAAAGCTCAGTCTCATTTCCAAGCTCTGGTTTGCAGATGGTGAGAAATTATTTAACATTCCCAGGAATCTAAAGATGCATTGCAGGAAAAAAATATTTCATTCTAATCCCTACTGTAATACTGAAGTGACCATTCTTAAATTAATCATTTAAGTATGTATTAACCACACACAAATTTGAAACCCAAGTGTCTTCAAAATTTCGCCTATACAACAGACTCCTTTGTGTCTTTTGTTCTTAAAGATTTTTGCTGTAGTAGAGCCTGGAGACAGCAACGAGATTAAGTCCCCATTGTAGTATTTTGTAAAATATAACGTGAAGGTTTTCAAGGGCATTGGTCATTAAATTTGTTCTCCTCTTGCTTGACAACATGAAAAGTTTGGAGAGATTAGTTTTTATGAGTAGCTATCTATTTTTTTCAGTCATGATTGAATAAAAATTAAACGTATACCTATAGCCATCCCAGGAATAGCAACAACCAGGCTGGTGAGTCCCACTCACATCATATTTTCCCTGTCTACTACAGGGAAAGGCATTAACTTTTGCAGGTAAATTGCTTCCAACTTTGCCTCCTGGTTCTATAGGAGTTGGGGCTAATCCCACCCATCAGAGTGCAATGTGAAGTGGTATAGCCCAGGACAGTTAGTTCAGTGCTAGAGCTAGTCTGAATAAATGAGCATGTGGGCACCTGTACAACTTCCCTTTCCCTCTGAAAGTACTTGGGCTCCCAGCCCTACTCTGCATATCCGCTGACAAATATTTTCATTTTTGATGAGAAAATCCTTTTGTTTTTCTGAGAGTGTACATGGGATGTTGCATGTTTCAGGATGACTGTTTTGTGAAGTCAGGTGGGTATTTTTTGCTGTTTTCCTTTGGTGAAGAATTGAAATGTCTAAAGCACACTGTAGTTTCAATTTGATGATAGCATGATTATTTCTATAGGATCAGTAAACAATCATTGCACAACCTGGAAAAAAAGAACCACAGTTGTGATGCTTACTGCACCATTTCTTCATGGTTTTCAGAAAACACATGCTATCTTGTTCCTCTTGATACAGCAGAATTGACTTATTAAAATACAGAGCTTTTCTATAATGGGAAGATAGAGTTATTTGTATTAATTAGATTGTCAACTTTTCACTGGTATTTGTCTGACAGAAATTCTAATCTGTGTTTAAACAGAAATATGTGAACTTCAGTTCACATTAAGCTCAATGTAAAAATTTCCCATGATTGAGCATTCCAAGTCAGCGCTGATCAAGGACTTGGGGTGCTTTATGAAGGTACTTGCCCTGCTTGTTTTCTTCTTTTGCAAGTCAGACTTCACATGCTGTCAGACTATCTTGAGATCTGTTGAAGTAAATGGTTGCTTTAAGTTCCAGATTTATGGTTTCATAGTACAGATACCAGTTGCAAACTAACCTGCAGAATAAAGGAGGAAAATGAGTTGCTTCTCCTCCATAAGCTGCATCTGCTTTAGCTAACTTCATATCTATGATTCTTCACTTGTATACATTCCCTGCTCATAGAAGGAGTGTAAACTCAGTATAGATTAGTATTTTTATTTTTATTAGTAGAGACAAGGCCTTAGCCTTTGGCACAAATTATTTTTCACCACCTGTGATATTGTTTTGTTGGAAATATGCTTGTTGCAATAACAAAATTAGTGCCATAAAGAGAGAGTATTTTGTATTCATGAATTAAATCTCTGCTGTCACAGTCTAAGAGGAGAAAATAAGCAAGCAGGAAAGACAAAAATATACTTAGTCCATTTCTTGCTATTGGCCAAGAAAAGTCTTGTGGAAGAGATAGTGACAGGGTTATGAACATCCTCCAAATTTTCAAATATGTAAAATTCTTGATTATCATTACATGAGCCAAACATAAATGCAAAATAAAAAAATGGAATTTCAAAATCTGCCCTTTTAAGAATAGATACTCAGCCTCATTTTTACAGAATGCAGATGATATAAAACATTTTACAGTGAGGGTAGTCAAGCATGGGAGCAGGTCCAGAGAGATTGTATTATTTCTGTCTTTGGAGCTTTTCATAATCCAACTGGACAATGTCCTGAGCAGCCTGTTCTGGCTGGCAGTGCACTGAGCTGAGCTGTTGGACTAGGTGGTCTCTGTCAGTCTCCCCAAGCCTCAACTGTTCTGCGTTTCTGACCTTGGTGAGAAACGGTGTTGTACGGGCACCCACATGGACAGCAAATGTTTTTAAAAAACAAACCTTAATTTATTAGCAGCTTTGCATGGGGTAACAATGCTTGCATGGGAAATGCAAGATTGGTTCAAGCTGGCTGGGGAAGGGAGTCTCCATTTCAGCCTTTCTTGCAATGATGTCTTCAGGTAAATAAAGCAGAACTCGTGATTGATGTCTGGGTGGATTCCTATATCTGGACCAGCAAGATGTGCACTCAGGATGTTAATCGATGCTTTCAAGCATCCAAGTAGTGTCTATCAGTTGGTCTAGGCACAACAAGAGTGTCCTGTGACAGTCTGCAGGGCTGTCTGGAAGTCCCACCTGGGGAGCTTCTGTAACAGGCAGTGAAGTACTTCGTTGTGAAGGTGGCTACATGTGTGGGCCCCCACTCTTACCAGTTTGGTGAGTCAGCCCCTTACCTCATCTGTGTAGGGACTTAGTGTCAGTATGCAGTGGGTGTGCACACACACAGCCCTGACAACCAAGTATGCCACAATTACAATTAGTGGTAGGTATTATAGGACAAGCTTGCATTTTTAATCTTATATCACAGCTACAACATAAATTCCAGAGATTTTACTACATTGAATAACCATACAATCTGATAGAGAACATGAAATTTTCTACAAGTAGGTATTTAATCTACAGACAGGATAAGAATAGGAGAGAATAGACAGTCTTTAGCTTGGAGGGCAGTCTTCATTGCAAATTTTAAAGCTTGGCCCTTCTCTTTGTACAGAACTGAAATCTGCGTGCTTCATTTTAGATACATCAAAGCTTGAAGATTCCAACAATTAAAATATGTTCCCAGAGAACATATTTTATCCACAGATAGTGGGTAAAGTTATTCTTTCAGTTTTGCTGGTCTTCATCCTGTGTATCATCAATGAAACTTATTTGGGAGCTGTGGGTTTCATGTTTTGATGGTCTGTATGGAAAAGCTCATATGGGGCTGCCAACTCTGTAACTTCTGGTGGCCCTGCAGCAGCCAAGCTGAGAGATGTTGAACAAAATACTGGTGTTTTTCAAAAAAGCCTACTTTGCTAGAAGGCCTTCAATCAGCCTTGCCAGTGAACAAGGTTAGGCAGGTGATGACGATGCACAGTTCGGCTCAGATTGCTTCCTCGTGAAAGGATACCTTCACTGATCTCATCAAGAGGAAACTTCAGAAGAAGTTTCCACCCTTCAGAAAACTTTAGATAAAGGGCATTTTAAGCAGTTATGTTCATTGAGGACTGAAACTTAATTCCATAATCTTACCTTTTCTTTTTCTTGTTAAAACACTACTTTGTTTGCTTGTCGTGCTTCCTAATTATTCAACTTAATTTGTGGTGCTTGTTAGGTCCTTTAGCTAAAGCCATTCATGTATTTAGTGTCATACTTAGAGCTAGATAGCTAGATAGAGACTTTTTAATAAAAACATAGAATGAAAAATATTCTCTTTCAAACTTGTAACCATTTCTGAAATCCTTTTTGTATTATTAGTAGCCATTGGTGAATAGGATTTTCAGTGAAGTTAAAAATGAATTAAAAGAAGATCTCCTTAGAAACCCAGAATCAGTAGTTAGGCATTTTTGCTGTAACAATCGTATTAATATAACAGGCTCTTAAGTTCTTGAAAAGTTCTCTAAGATTTAAGTTCTGAAATATTGAATACAGGGAACATGAGAAGGATTTTCCTTTTTTGAGTTATGATGTTCAGCATTTTTTTTCTTCCATGAAGAACAGAAGAATGGCCAGGTTCCAATGATGATGATCTTCCTTCCAAAAGAATGGGAAGTTATGGTCTGCTTGAAAACAGTAGATTGTTCACGCCTAGTTCTATGGCCTTTTTAAAAT